TTTTAAAAAAAAAAAAAAAAAAAAAAAAAAAAAAAGTATCCCAAGAGGTGATACTTTTTTTTGCATTGATACGTCCATCCAAAAATATTTGCACTAAATTTTCAAACATATTAGTGTATTTAAATGCCTTTTGCTCGTCGTTACTTAAAATTTAAATAAGTGCCGTTATATAAATACTATAAATTATAATGCTAATGCTACGTGCGTAACATTAGAAAATGCGAGACACAAAGTTAGTTTGTTTTTAAGAACGATAACCAGTAAAAGATTAATATCCGAGAAAATCGATGACAACCGATGATGATTGCTGCTAATACTTTACTTGAAAAAGTAAAATTATAATTATTGTATGTTACCTAAAATATAAATACTTACTGTAATTGAATGACTGCGTCTTGAAAACTGTGTGCTATGATGATGTGAATAAATGGAAGAAACCGGATGAAATTCTCGTTGAATTTGAGTACGTATCATGCGTTATTACTATTATTATATTTACTATTATTATAAATAATATTATTGTATTATTAAAATTTAGTGTACCATTTGAAAGTAACTCGAATGAATATATTTTTGTGAACATGTGTACGTTTATAATATATATATCTTCCAAAGGAGAAGAATAAAATGGTTACGAAATTGAACTTTTAATGTTGATGAAACTTTTAATTTCAATTCAAGTATCGCTCATTTAGATTTTTCAATAAGTATAAACATACACAATCAAGATCGGACAATTTTTCCGTTTTGAGTTAATTGAAATTCTACAAAGCTTGTTTTATATTCACATAGGTTCCACCCCATAGCCACGAAATAAAATTTTTATGAAACATTCGAGGTATAAGGTGTATAAATATTGATCTTACACAATTTCTGTATGTTTTCATGTAAACAACCGCACTTGGTTTAAAAATTTTTTGGTGCTCAAACACTTCGCAAGGAACCAACAAAAATTTGAAAAATTGTCTGATTTCAATCATTTTTAATTTTTTACTGTTAAGAATATCTCAACATACAATGTGGTTGATCGTAAAATATATCAAAACAATTTTTTTTCACCACCTACCATACTCTTTCGCATCAGCTTATTTGTTATTGTTGTTATGTCGACAGTTTACCTTAAATGTATGGTTTAAGTTAGTGAAAATTTACTTTTCATGTAACATACAGTCGAGCCAAAATATACTTATTCGAGTATGTAGCATACATATATATTTATATTAAGTGGTTGAGCATTTTATTATCGTTATTTTAAATGCGAAAACGCTAGCGAATGTAGGTAAAAG